CACGATGACTTGATTATAAGTTTTTGTCTAGTGTCGTAAATTCCATTCTACCAAACTGGCACTAGCTTTCGTCAATTATTATGACCTCACATCAAGGCTTGAGGGTCATAACTTTTTAAAGTGTGATCAAATTTGTACAATCATTGAATAAGTGTGACCTTCCACCCACTAAACGGGATACTGGGGATGTAGCATATGTTATAGCTCTATTTATTGTGCCAACGCATTTCACCTCACACATAGTGCTTCCATTCATCTCTTGTGGTTAGTGGTTAACTATAGCCTAGTTGGTTATGCCCATCTCTTGTTGTTAGTGGTTAACTAAGTCCTAGTTGGTGAGTAGTTAACTAAGTCTAGTTGGTGATTCACGTCTCTTGTGGCTAGTGATTAACTAAGTCCTAGTTGGTGATTCCCATCTCTTGTGGTTTAGGATAGAGAATAAGATTTATATGTATTGGAGTAGCCTCTAGAGTTCATAGCACAGTGTTGGAAAAAAATGTGTAAATGGCTTACTTTTGGCACAATTTTTGGAGGGACCGTTGGTCTAATTTGGAAGATCAAAATTGATTTGTATTATCCTTTGTGAGTACATCGAAATCATATATTTACTAGACAAAAATGAAACTTGGATGAATGAAAAATTAGAGCTCAAAGTTAATAATTGGAAGATGGTTTATGTGGAAAAATTGGATGTCTCACATAGGAAAATAAAGAAAGCATGAACCACTTTATATATGGCTACCCATTGGAAGGGAGTAATAATGTGTAGCATATTGGCTCTCTCCTCGTGCGTACACACGGGGGTGCAAATTACGAACCGAAATAGCTTTTGGGCTTTGAACTTGTGTGTGGACGTGACCTGCATACATGAATGTCGGACCGAATGGAGCAAAAATTGACTTTTTGAAGTGTCCACGTTTTTCAATTTTTTTACTTTCTCCAACTGACTTTTGAGCTTCGAAAACTGCTAAAACTCCAATGGTTACTGCAGAAACTGAAGTGACTCCAATGTTTATTACCATAGAGTTAATGGACAGATTTATCTTATATTATATCTCATTTTTCTAGCAATTCTTACACATATGAAATGCAGGAGAAAAACTATGTCTGCATATTATTATTCTCTACGAAGTTGGTCTGTCTGCATACATAATCTCGATTTCTATTTGCGTCGTCTTGGTGGTGATATTATTTGAATACTAATCAGTTCGTTGAAGTAGTATCTGTGGTGCTCAGATCTTACTAGTTTTACCATTGTATACTGGAAAACAGACGCTCGAATTAAATCTCAAGCACTACAGTGAGAGGACAAATCTATTTTAAGGAAACGATGCTGGCACAAGTCTCGGGTTGAAAATTCATTTCTTATTTATTTATTTACTAAATTTTATCTTACTTGTTCGACTTGCAGATTCATATGCATTTATATTCTTTTTGTGCTTCATATATTTTAAAGTTTATTTTCTGTTTATGTTAAAAATAAAAATTTGGAAAAATTTTACTGACATTTGGTTTGGTAAGTACATATACGATGTCTGCAATTTTGGTATTTGTAAGTGCAAAAATTGATATATGAAAATACGGTATCTAACCTCACTGCATATACGGTGTACATAAGACCGGGATATGCAAATACGGTAAGCTGGTGCATATACGGTAAGCTGTTACAAATATGGTATGTTGTTGCAAATATGATAATCTGCATATATGGTATGTTACGTATACGTATGCATAAATTCAATATGTAAATTGCATATATGGCATGAATGAATCCAGTTTCACCAACTACACTAATTAAATTCCAACAAACTTAAAACAAATTCTAAGAAAAAAATTGGTTTCTTATACTGTTAATTTTAGAAACTAATTTTTTTTCGTTTGACTTTTAGAAATGGCAACCGAATCGATCAATATGGATGTGATCCATACTTTGCCTACTGGAAAATCAGGCTGTGAACTCTATTATGGCCCAAGGGCCAAGCTCTGTTGTGGCTCAGACTGTTGCTATATTACCAAGTCATGTTGTGAGTCAAACTGTGGCTCCAACAACTAGCCATACCATTAATGTTCCAATTAATCATTGAGAAAAATTGAAGAAATTTAATTGCTTGAATTTTAAAAGGTGGCAGTAGAAAATGTTATTTTACCTGATCACTTTGACTATTGTGAGATTCTTAATTGAGATTGCTCCAAAACTTAATAAAGGTGAGGGAGATATACAAGCAATAAGTGCACTTGATGCTCGAAACCATTCGGATCTTCTATGTCGAAACTATATTATGAACAGTTTAATAGACATGCTATAAAATGTGTATAGTACTATGAAAACTGCTAAGGAGTTGTGAAGGTCATTGGACCGAAAATATAAAACTGGGGATGTCGGGGCTAAAAAGTTTATTATCAGCAGATTCTTAGATTATAAAATGGTGGACTCCAAAACAGTCATCAGTCAAGTGCAAGAACTCAAAGTGATTCTTCACGAAATTTATTCCGAATGGATGATTTTGAGTGAAATTTTTCAAGTGGCTACATGGAAAGATTTCAAGAATTATTTGAAGCACAAACGAAAGGAAATGAACGCCAAAAAACTAATTGTTAAACTTTGAATTGAAGAAGACAACAAGAGTTCTGAAAAAAGTGGTTCAATCCTGGTCTGGCTAAAGCCAATGTTGTGGAGCTTGGTCAAAGTAGTAAAACCTACAAAAATAAGTCTGGACCATCTGGCGACAAAAAGACCAAGTAAGGACCGAAAGGTTGAATTTCTAAGTAGAAAGTTCGAGGAAAATGCTTCAATTGTGACAAAGTAGGCCATAAGTCTTCGGAGTGCAGATTGCCAAAGAAGAAGAAATAAGCAAATATCGTTGACTACATGACATAAGCTGTGTCAGAGCTGAATCTCTTAGCCATCATTTCTGAAGTGAATATGGTAGGTTCAAACCCTAAAGAGTGATGGACTGACACCGGTGTTACGAGGCATGTGTGCTCTGATAAGGAGTTGTTTGCAATGTCCAAAGCAATTGAGAATGGGAAAAAGTTATTTATGGGAAATTCAGCAACTTATGAAATCAAGAGTCAAGGAAATGTGATTCTGAAGAAAAAGGAGCCGACTCTTAACAACGTACTATATGTGCCGAAAATTCGCAAGAACTTAGAATCTGGGTCACTTTTAAATAAGCATAGTTTTCGTATTTTATTTGAGTCAAACAAAGTTATTTTGTCGAAAAGTGGAATGTTTGTCAGAAAATGTAATGTTTTTGATGGTATGTTTAAACTTAATGTAATGGTTGTTAAACAAAAAATGAATGAAGGAAAATTTTCTGCTTACTTGCTTGAGTCTTCCAATTTGTGGCATGGTAATCTAGGATATGTTAACTATGATACTTTACAAAGACTAGTTAAATTGAATTGCACACCCGAGTTCCATATTGATTCCAAACATAAGTATGAAACTTTTGTTGAGACAACATTGACAAAGTCATCGTTTAAATTAATTGAACGGAACACAAAACCACTTGATTTAATTCACAGTGACGTATGTGACTTAAAACTTGTAAAAACAAGATGTGGTAACAAGTCTTTCATTACTTTAGTGATGATAGCACTAAATACTGTTATGAGTATTTGCTAAAAAGTAAAGATAAAGTCTTAGAAAAATTTATTCTCTATAAGAATGAGGTTGAAGCTCAACTTAATAAGAAAATTAAGGTGTTAAGAAGCGATCGAGGTGGTGAGTATGAAGCACTATTTGCTGAATTCTGTGCACAACGTGGAATCATTAATGAAACCATCGCACCTTAGGTACCGCAGCAAAACAGTGTTGTTGAACGAAAAAATTGTACTTTAAAGAAAATGATAAATGCAATGCTAGTAAATTCTGGGTTAACTCATAATATATGGGGGAAAGCTGTATTATCAGTATTACCTTTTAAATAAGGTCTCTCGAAAGAAAATGGAAAAGACCCCTTATGAGTTATGGAAAGGAAGAAACTCTTCCTATAAATACTTATGAGTGTGGAGGTGTCTTGCAAAAGTTGCCCTTTCAACACCAAAGAAGGTAAGGATATGGCCAAAAACAATAGATTGCATCTTCATTTGCTATGCACTCAATAGCAGTGCTTATTGATTTCTTGTGTGTGATTTTAAAATCCTAGACATACACAAAAACACGTTATTTGAAGAAATGTTTCATTCTTTGAACATGTATTTTCATACAAGTCTAAAGAGGAAGCAAACTCCTCCAAAAGAACACATGAGACTATGACTGAAAATAGTCATGTCGAAGAACTAGAAGAGGAGACTAAGATTAGACATAGCAAACGAGAAAGGACAGAAAAATCATACGGTCCTTATTTTCTGACCTATATGCTAGAAAGTAAACCTCAAAGTTACCAAGACGCTGTGAATTCCTCGAAAGGATCTCAATAGAAGGATGCCATTAAAAGTAAAATAGAATCCATACTGCAAAATCATACATGGGAGCTAGTGGATCTTCCTCCAAGAAGCAAACCACTAGGATACAAATGGATTTTGAACAGAAAAATGAAAGCGATGAAACTATCAAAAAGTATAAGGCCACATTAGTAATAAAGGATTACAAACAAGGGAATGCCTTGATTACTTTGATATGTATTCTACAGTGATGAGAATAACATCTATTAGGGTGATACTTGCAATTGCCAATTTGCGAAATCTTGAAGTACATCAAATTGATGTTAAAACTGTCTTTTAAATGGAGGTTTAGAAGAAGAAATCTATATGGAACAACCCAAAGGGTTTTCGTCACCAAAACAAGAAAAAAAGCATCTAAGAAGAAATCTATATGTAAATCATAGTGGTTATTCAGGTTAAGCATCTAAGATCCATTAATTTCCACCTACTCATCAATATGAATCAATTTTTTTCATACTGCAAAAAATAAATCTAGTATTCATAAATATCAGGTTTCACATGAATAAGCATAAACTAACTTAATATATAAGGACCAATAAGGGATTATGTACCTCTTAAAATCAGTCCACATGTGGTAGATAGAATGATGTCTCCAGACGGGTTCAAAGTGGATGGTGGCGGATGAGTGGATCGAGAGTAAAGTTCTCTAATCATTACACACATCTAGTTAACCTATTTGTATATATCTTCTGATCTGCTGTACAAGGCCCGCACTCTTGTATTCATGTCCTCCAGTCTATTGTGTATGGCCTCATTTCTAATGTGTGTGCCCTCAACTAGTCTTGTGCATCGATCTAATTGTCTCCCCATGAGGTCATGCTCCATATGTAAAGTCAATAGCTCACTTGAGAGCTTGCTCATATCTCGCTCTATACCTTACATCCTAGCATTCTTACCATGCTCCCTATTATCTCTTGCTTGTTCCCTAGCCTATGAAGCTATCATCATTTGTTCTATATGCCATAATGTCCTATTTATCTTTCTCAGCCCAGCAAACTGCCTAATAACCCGAAAATCAGGTATTGGCTTCTCGCTATGCAAGAGGTGGAATGTGATCATCCGTCTTTAGGTCTTCTTGGTCATGCGATTAACTGTGCCGATGTCTCTACTGTCTGATGGATTGCCATGTCTTGGTAGTTGATAATACATTAATCCAGATGAATTTTACATAGTAACTTCCCTCGAAGGTATTTGACACCCGACGTACGACATATGCCAAAAATGAGATTGAGAAAGATTTTTATATATTTGAGGTTTGGACTATTACCACAAAACATATGAGATCATAAATTAGAGATCCTAATTCAATCTTAAAACCTTGTGCAAGATGATGCAAGAGAATGGCTTTAAGATGATTGATGGTGGTGCGGTGTGAGCTTAGATTGATGTTGTAACCAATGAATTTTTATAGGATCACAAGAGAGTCTATCAGATATCAGTACTCTAATTCATTTTCTAGGAGTGGCCATGTGTTATCTCTCCCATACAATATTTTTGCAATGATTGACATATCTGGATTCATTGGTACTGGCACGATATTGCCATATTGACCTAGTCAGTCCGTAGTAAGTATCAATCACTTCTAGCGAGAATACTATCTGTTTGTCTTGAATCCATGTCTGATGCATATGTTCGATCCCAGTGTGTCTAACTTTGCATTAAAGTTGGCATAGAACTCTTGCATCAAGGTAGGGTAAACCTTCTGAAATCACCTGATGCTGTTTCTCATTCTATTAAATGAATCAACTGGGTCATCTCAAACCCTACAAAGTCTCCTACCACTATTTGTCGTTTTGGCCATACTTTCCATCTTGAGACCACATTATCAAATCTATCTTTGTGTTCAAGGGTTCAAAAATGCCTTGACCCCTATCATCAAGTTGAGTGCGAGCTGAGATAGAAGATCCCGAGACCTTTTGTTGCCTTTTGAAGTGGACGGAGTATTCTTTCTCTTTGGTGCCATATCTAAAAAAACAATGTAAAAAACTAAAATTATTCACTTATATATGATATACCAATCATGCATGTGAACATAAGTTGACACAAAAGGGGGGCCACAAATAGGGGACATAAATAAGGCTGCATGCAGAGTTACAGGGAGAAACATAGGGTATCATAGGCTAAAATTTGTGCCCCCTCAATTTTTATGTAAATCATGAATTTTGATTGATGAAACTACATGGAAGTGTTTGTAAATGTTTATTGTAGGTGTTGTTCGAACATCATGCTAAAGTATGAACAAAACTGCATTTATACCTTTTATCGAACACGTAATGTGAAAATTGATGAGTCTAATGTAATGTTTGAACCTAAACAAGTCTAATTTGAAAATCCACAATACATATAACAAACCCAACATTGACCTAATCCCATTCTCCATCAAGAATCACAAAAATTGAATAGATAGCAAGATATATAGAAAACTAGCAAATCTATGAAATTCTTCAAATTATAACAAGTACCTTTGATTTCTCGAAATTTGATGGATGTAAGTGCGAAATAGTTAATGAATGATGTTGTAGTGTTCAATCTTCAATGCCCACATGAAATTTGGAAGAATTTGGTGAGAGATTGTAGAAATTTTGAAGAAAAATAATGAGGGAGACGCCGATTTTGGTGGCTTTGTTGCCGTTTGAGTGTAAGGCTTGCGGGCCGGGTCGATGCAAATGCACTAGCTATCAGATTTTTTTTATTTTTTAAACTAACTATACTACTCTTGAACTCTTATGACTGTCCTTTCATTACGAATTACGTACTTAATGTGCCCAGTGGGTCCAAAAATGATGGAAAAGCATAAAACTCTTTTTTGACCTTTAATTCTCACAAAATCACCTTTTTACTCTATTGAACCCCTAATCTTATTGAAAGCAATATGTGAGCTCATATGAATTACACAAATACTCAACTAACCTAATGTATAGATTAAAATGCCTAAACTAATTTAAACACACAAAAATATGAAAAATCCTAAACTGATGCATAAATTTTGAATAAATAAAAGGGAAAAGATTTGGTGCCTCCCAATTAATGCTTGTTTGTATTCTTCAACTCGACTTTGTTGTTTAAGCTATTTTGGATCCTCAAATGGTAGAATTGTCTTCTCATTGGAGTAGTCACCTACTCAACTAGCTTTCAACCTCTGCCCATTGATCTTGAACCCTCGTTGGTGACCTTGAGACACAACATAACATCAACTATACCGTATGGGTATACAACTACCATTGTAATGGTCCGACTACCACAATCTTAGCTTGGCTGGAAAAAGGCTTGAGGCTAAAATTGAAGATGAGAACCTGCTGACCAACCTCGAACTCTTTTTCTTTAATATGCCTATCATGCCATCATTTAATTTTCTCTTTGTATAACTTCGCATTGTCATAAGCCCCCAACCTAAACTCATCAAGCTCATTTAGCTACAGTATTGTCTTCTTCTCATCTACCTTCATATCAATTTAGTATGTGAGTTTTCCAATATGCCTAGTTCTCAAGTTCAACTAGTAAGTGACATGCTTTTTCGAATACCAATCGATAAGATGACATCCAGTACAAGTTTTGAATGCAATTTAGCTGGCAAAAGGTGCATCATCTGACTTCATTGACCAATCTGTGCTTGATACATTAACTATAGCTTCTAGGATTTTTTTAACTTTTCATTGGAGATCTCAACTTGCCCACTGGTTTGCAGATGGTAAGGCATTGCAAAAGGGTTTTTACCTCATATTTTGTCAATAAAGCTGAGAATATTCAATTACAAAAATGTTTCTCGTCATCACTAATAATATACTCCATACTTGGAAAAGATACTCTTTTGAGAAATTGAGTCACAAACCATCCATTGTTTGTAGGTAATGCCATAGCCTTCACACATTTAGGAACGTAATCCACACCTACCAAGATATATTTTTGACCATATGAAAAAGAGAATGGTCCCATCAAGTCGATGCCATAAAAAATTAAAAATATCTGTTTCAATCTGTTATTTAAAGGCATTTCATTCTTTCTAGAGATTTTTTCCGTCCTCTACATTTATTACACTTCTTTACTAATTCATAAGCATGCTTAAATAGAGTTGGTTGATAAATATCTGATTGTAAGACTAAGCTACTGTTTTGGTTGCTGTGAAGTGACCTCCATATGGAAAAGAGTGACATTGATCTAGTAAAAGTTTTTGTTCTCTTTTGGCACAAAAAGACGAATGATTTGGTTAAGACCTCATCTATAGAGAAACAGATCGTCCCAAAAGTAGTACTTTAGATCACTGAAGAATTTCTTCTTCTATTGATTAAAATGCCTTCAAACATTCTAATCAAATATTTGATATTTTAAATATTTGTTTAAGCATGACATGAGTTAAATAATAACTTTAAGGTTTACATCAAGGTACACTGGTATGCTCTGCATCATCTTTGAGTACATTAATGTGAAATTGTTAGGCATGAGGGGTTGAGTGTTTCATAGAAACACTTAGTAGACTCATACACATGCTATATCAAATCATATCATAATGTAAGCATATTTTCATACAGTTTGAGTTTTTACGGAATGAACATATCAATGATTAGGTGACATAAATTTGGTATACTACGTACACCACCAATTTCACATATTTGATGCACTACCACGTCATATGGCATACATGCCCAACCATAACATGAATTAATATAAAAAATAGGTATGAGTCTGCTTCATTTGTAATGAGTCTTAAAGTTTGAGCATCGTATATATAGACTTCAAAAGCATCAACTTTAGAAATTCTTTAAATTTTGTGAAATGCCTTGATTTCATTTCCTACACTTTAGTTCGGCAAAATCCTCCAAGTGTATGGGATCATTAACAAGTAATACATGATAAGTAACGTGCATTGTCCCATGAGGAATAAAATTTAACTGAGTATATTCTAGTTTTTAATCAGTTTTAAAGTGAGAAAACAAAAGTAATTTATGAAATTAATCTATGGAAGCTTGTAAAATTAGAGTTATATATATGCAATGAGTGTATTGGACTACAAATCTATCTACTATTATCTATTTCAATTCTCAATAACGTAGCTAGTTTCATTCATGCATGACAATCGATAAATCTTGTTAATTAATTTTCTTTTCCAAGATAAAATAAATCTATTTTAGTCATGAGCCAAATCTATTCCTAATCCGAATTTGAATGAGTAGAAAGCATTCAATTTCATGATTATCTAGGGATGTCAACGAGCCAAGCTGAACCGGCTCACGAGCCAAAACTCGAGGCTCGGGCTCAGCTCGAGCTTTTTTAAACAAGCTTTTTTCGAGCCTGAGCCGAGCCAAGAAAAAGCTCGATTGAAAAAACAAGGCTCAGCTCAAGCTTTGGGCTCGGGCTTTGTCGAGCCAAGCCGACTCATTTTTTTTAATAATAATAACAAGATTACAAATCTAACATTTTCTTAAAGAAAATTTAAAAATTACATAATTTATACGCGTTACAAATAAAATAAAAATTACAACTTATAACCCTCCTCTTTTTTTCGGGCTTGGGACCGGCTACATGACGTAGGCGGAGTTAAAATTATACACGAATAAAATACTTCGTGTACAATTTTTCTTGAAACAAATAAATTTAAAAATGACATATTGTTTTGAAATAAACTATTTTAAAAAATTACAAGTTACAACATTCTATGTTTGGAACTCCTGCAACTCTTCAGCTAGTATACAATCAACATGTTCTTGAACACTTAATTCTGCACATTTCCAATCCTTCAAACATATTAAAGCCTCTAATATATCTTCTTTTAGTTTTGAACGTTCATCTGATAAAATTCGACCACCTAAATTGAATGCAGCCTCCGATGCTACTGTAGACACCGGAGGTGTTAGTAGATCACGTACAATTTTTCATACAATTGGATATTGTCTTTCATTACACCTCCACTAATTTAGAAGACTAAATTCGTTTAATTCTTTCTCAGGTAACACACTGCGAACGTCCTCGCAAATATACCTAGCTAACTCGGAGAGAATTTCAAAATTTGTACCACCGACATTTATCGCTCTAGACATCGATGAACTAGAACTAAACGAGAGAACACTTGTATTTCTTTCCAAAAAATTCCATAAATTATC